TGGGAAATGAAATATTTACTGTGATATAATTACGGTTGATTCACACAGGGCAAACTTGTTTCTTCCGTTGATAAACACACGAAAAGGGGAACAAATTCTGAAACCAAGCTCTGTGCTCCAAGGTTATTCATATTATTGAATTTTAATTTGAAAAACAATACTTCTTATTCTTCCTGTGACTTGTACCATAAATTGGATTACCTTTGAAATCTGATGTATATACTGATGGAAAAAAACACTGTATGGTAAAGTATGACCTATGGTAGTAGGTTGTACTTTTACAAAATGTTTTTTGTTATGTGCTGACCAGAAATCTTCATGATGAAGAACCAACTGAATATCTTGTGACTGCTTTGATTCATCAGGACAGGCCACAATTGACTGTTGAGATGACAGCTGTTCAGTGAAATGCCAGAAGTGAAGACATTGTTTCGGCCTGCCTTGTCCCTTGGTGTCAATCCCAGAGAGATGCTTCAAGATCTTCTGCAGAGCAGCTGAAAACTTGCCCATCAGGAACTGGCTGCTTGGTCACGTATGTCTCCAGAAATGTGCCAGCACCTCACAGCTACACATTCAGAGGTTCACTGACTCCATGGCATGTCAAACAATGATTGGTGGAACTGATGGTTGGTCACTTTGGTTCTGATGGACTGTGGCCAACCAGTGCAAGTTTACCACTTGTTTCCACTGTGTTTATTATTTTGTACCATTTACGAGTGTTTAATTTCTTTTTGCCACCAGTATATAATCACAACTATCTCAAGCTAGAAGTAGTTTGACATATAGATCCAAAAATCATTAATTCTTGTTTGTCACTCTTAAACCCGCTTAGATCTTTCAAAATGTGATTAATATAAACTGAGCACAATAGGGATATTTGTGTTTGGTAGATTATTTCTTTGCTGTAACAATGCTTCTTGGCAATAAATCCTATGACTGGCAGCACTTGTGGGTACCAAAACCTCAAAACAAGTGTCAATAGCAACAGCAAAATAAGATGTTTGGCAGAGAAGATTAGGATAATTTTTCATGTGCACAAACCACTTTCTCAGCTCTAATCATCCCTCAAATGCAGGTTCCTTTCAAATGTGGCACATTTAAAAAAGGAAATGAACAGGCTTTCCAAAAGTATAGGATTTATTGCCAAGAAGTATTGTTAGAAGAAATAATCTACCAAATACAAATTTCCCTACTTTTTGTGCCAAGTATACAGTAAATATAAATAAAATGTGAAAATGGTTAAAAACTGTTTAAGCTTAAAAAGTCAGGTTAAAGAGCAGAGTAGAAGTATGTAGTCTTTTAAAAGTTTGATTTTATATTTCTATCACTCCAATACAAAACGTGAATCAAATATCAGTAATAAACACTTTTACTGGCTTAGTTAATTTGTGTAATAAATTAAGTAACCTTAATAGTGAAAATAAAATGTCATTATGTTTAACAAATGTAAACTGTTTTGTAAAACACAAATTAATTTGCTATCAATCAAATTGTATTGGTATACAAAAGCAACAAAAATTTATAAGGAAAATTTGTTTGGAGAGCTTTTTAACTACATGAGCTATTGTGACCTGAGAAAAATTTGTAAAATGTCAGCATGTTTCACAAAGCTACTAATACGGATAACTTTGAAATAAATCTGAAAGAGGGCTGCCAACTTCGACCTCCCATGTCACAAATTGACAAATATATTTAGCTTTTGTTTTCCACTGTTTAAGAGATCTTAAAGCATAATTTAATATTAAGATTTATTTAAGAACTTTACTTCTGTTAAAATTTAAATGAATTTTGTAATTCTATATGCTGATTTATCCATCCATCCATTTTCAGTACACGCTTACTCCTTTCAGGGTCGTGTGGGTCACTGGTGCCCATATCCAGCAGTCACAGTGCGAGGGGCGGGGTACATCCTGGACAGGTTGCAAGTCCATCACAGGGCCACACAGAGACAAACTAGGCAAACAACCATTCACTCTCTCACTCACAACTAGGGACAATTTAGAGTTATCAATTAACCTAACAGTCATGTTTTTGGTCTGTGGGAGGAAGCCAGAGTATAAGCGGATTTAAAAATATAAAAATGCATAGCTGCTGCTCTTTACTCCCATAAACTCTATTCTTAAACTTGCTCATTTTATAAATGTGTGTGGTATTTAGAAGACTAAATTATTGCATATTGCACATACAGTATTACATCTAATTTGATACCTCACTCACTTTAAACAGTTACTTAAAATTAACTATTTAAACTCCTCAAAACTTCAGAAACAATTAGCATCAAAGGTTGTCATTGTCTCTTCACATATGAGGAAATGTCATTGATGCAGATTGTGTGTATGAGAAGGAATAAAAAGTACAATTACCATAACTGGGACTTATTGTTACCCAGGCATGGCAACTTAACATGTAGGAATAATTCAAAAACAAAAAAGGTGGATTTTTTTCAGTTCAGGGTTGTGTTTGTGAGTTGAACAGTATGTTTAGTTTGTCTGCTTTATTTACAGCAGAGGAATGACTTTCCCTGTAGCGCAGAGGAATGAAGTTTTTCACTGACGCTGACCAAGATGACATTTCCACATCATCTTCTTGGAGATGTGGCAACAAATTTCACACTCAGAGTCTGTCAACGCCAGGCGGAGCCTCATTTTAGCATCTTTACTGATGTGTCTTCCAGCACCCTTCGCAGAAAATCTCAACTCCTCTTCTTCTTCTTTCACCTCCACAGCAGCTGCCCAATCCCTATCTGTTTTTCCTTTTCAGGATCGTGTCCAATCTAATGTGTGTTTACATACCAACAAGCACTGGATTTGTGTGTGGTGTGATAGTGAATATGGTACTGTGAGATACAGCACTGAGAGACGGCATGAAAAAATTAGTAGTTTGTGTAATGAGGCATTTTGAGGTATCGTGCAACAATAAGTTTAGGTTGTTCTTGAGAAATTCCCCAGCAAACAACCTCAGCATGATGTTGCCAGTCATTGGCATGAATAGGTGCATCCTTTTGGATAAAATATGCTTTAACATCAGCGTCCTTTTATAAAGAGAAGGAGAAACTCAAAAAGAAAAGTTCTGCTTGGGCACCCGGACATCATCAAGCAAATATTTTAAAATCTGTGTTTTTATGGAACTGTTGAATAGTAGGATTTTAAATAAGAGAGAATCTGTTTTTTTATGGGTGAGCAAGACATACGGGTTAATAATATTTCACAACTGTATTGAGAAAAGGCTTTTCTTCCATGTAAGAGCTGGCGCGTGTATTAGCACAATTTATCATTTAGAATTGTTAATCCATCATTAAG